ACCAAGCAGTTCATTCCTCAGAAGACATGAGTATGGTGATCCATCACAATTCCAGCGGCCATTCTCAGTAGCCTTTCTTGTTAGTCCACTAAGGCAATCCTCCTAAAATTAAAATCACAGCAATTTCAAAGACATTTCCTCAATTACCCAGCACTAAGATGAATCCACACATATTATAAACAAAGGAAACATCGCAAATTTCAAATAAACATCTCAAATGAAATGAACTATATAACTACATCATAACAGCAAGTTTCAAATGATGATGCAGTGATACAGCTGCTCCAAATCTCAAAGAAATGAAATAAGAGACTGCATAAACGGAATGTAGAGATTTCTTCCCATTCATCTCTGCTCAAGAACAGTCTTAATATCAGAGAAGTGTTAAAATAACCTTGAACTGGATCCCCTAATCTGTCAACATATAATTACACTCCATTAACTTTTAAGTGAAAATTGAAGTGCACAATGCACCTTACTTACATTACTGAATTCCTTATAACAAGTTAATTAAACTGAGTTATGAAACATGGGACTAAACATTTTCTAGTGATGATGTTAATATANTGATGATGATGATGATGTTAATATAATATTTAATTCCTTTTTAGACACTTACTCGAAAATTTACTATTCTAGTTTTCCAAAAAAAAAAAATTAAAATTTCAAATGAAATAAGTGATTGGATTACTATAGGAATAAAAACATCCTGTAAACGTAAAAGAGTACTCTATATGGCATGTAGAAACAGTAATAATTCAGAATTAAGAAACTATTATAAAAAATACTGTAAAATTTTATCTAAGGTCATTAAGGAAGCTAAAAAACTACAATATGATAACAGAATTCAAAATTCCAAAAATAAAAATAAGACACCATATGGGATATAGTAAAATTAGAAACTAATAAGGGGCCAAATAATGAAAAAATATGCACATTAAAGGTGGATGGAAAATGGGTTAGAGGAAAGCAAGTAATTCCAGAAGCCTTTAACAATTATTTTTTATCTGTAGCTGAAAATAAAAATGCAAAAAATAAACAAAATAATACTAATATTAGTTACCTTCCAGACACTAATTCAATTCAGTATTTAATGAAAACGTTTATAAATCCTTTTCCACATATTAAACTTAAATCTTTATCAACTAGGGAAGTTGAAAATATAATTAAATCTCTAAAAGCAAAAAACTCTTATGGATATGATGAAATATCTACTAAAGTATTAAGAATGAGTTCCCTTTTCCTTAGCTCTCCTTTGACTTGAATATGCAACAATTCATTGTCACAAGGAATTTTCCCAGATCGTTTAAAATACTCAGAAATAAGACCGCTGTTTAAAAAGGGTGAAAAAACAAATATTTTCAACTATAGGCCTATATCACTTTTAACTTTGTTCTCTAAGGTATTAGAAAAAGCTATGAGCATTCGATTGAGCACTTAAATAACAATAACATTTTAGTGGAAGAACAATTTGGTTTTAGAACAAAATCTTCAACAGATGAGACCATATACAAGTTAGTGATTGAAATCTGCAAGAACTTAATAGGAGGCATATTTTGTGACCTAATAAAGGCCTTCGATTGTGTTAATCATGAGGTTCTGTTGTCGAAATTGGAGTTCTATGGGATAAAGGGTAAAGCTAAACTATGGCTTGAATCTTATTTCAGAAATAAATATCAAAGTATTTTAATTACAAAGACAAATCTTAATCTCAATGAATTTTTGACATGGGGCAAAATTAGAGATGGTGTCCTGCAAGGTTCAATTCTGGGTCCATTGTTATTTCTCATTTATATAAACGATTCACCCAAAACTATAAATCTAAAACTGTACCTATATTATTTGCAGATGACACTAGTTTGTTAGTTGAAAGTTCAAACTATGATGATCTCTGATTATAATAAAAGAGATTATAAATGAACAACCGGACACAGAAGTCATTATTTTTGTTTCCTTTGGAGAGGGTGACTGACCATATCTTGGAAACTGTTAGTTCCCAACAGCTTAAGAAACTGACACCATTTTCACTCCTTACAAGGAAATTCTCATTAGGAAAAAGGCATCTAAATAAACAGCAGTAACACTGCTAGTGATACAACAATTCTGATTCATGGCATGGATAAACAGAGCCCATGTTATCCACCAGATAGGGTGCATGCATCACTATGGTACTCCTTTTGTTGCAGCAGTCTTTTAGACGGAATGAAATATTAAAGTGGTGTACTAAGGACAAACTGCACAGTTGGTATCCCATATCAGCAGAAGAGCAACACGACATTGCTCACCTACAGGAACTGCTGGTAGACCACAAGAACTGTTCACGCCAGGAATTTACCATTCACACAGACATTAGTCCCCCAACAGAATGCAAAATTTATTCTATCCATAATTAATCCATTATTTTTGTGAACTCAATTTAGTCAAACACAATAATAAAAATTATTAAAAATACTCACTGTGGCAGTGACAAATTTAGTTGGCCAGTTGTTTCTATTGCGTGTTGGAATGAATCGATCACCGATCTTCCTATAGCGTGGGGTCTCAGATGTCAGTAAAATACATCGCTGCAATTATAAATCAGACATCATTAGAATCTCGAATTTCCCAGTCAAATGAGAAATGTGCAAATCTTTCAAACAAAGTTCTCAGAACATGGCATGGATTTCAGTTCCTTTCAGAAGCTTGTATGAAAACAAAACTGTAAATGTTATGCATATAATTGTCCTTTCAGGGATGAAAAATGTGGAATGAAGGGGACAGAAAATAAATTTTTGATGATGAGTTAAAGAATGAACAATGTAAAGGACTTTGAGAATTAAAACATTTACACCAAGACAGACACAGAGAATTTACTAAAAATGCCTTCATGTTTCATTTCAACAGTGAAAATATGTAGCACAAGTCTTCACATGAAGACAGACAATTCAGGGTGTTTCAAAAAGAGCTTTACAACTTTGAAAGCTTATATAAATTTATACAGAGGACATACACAATGTTTTGAACTGTCATAATGTAGCAAAACACACCGAGTTTTACCTCCGATAGTTATGGTTCAATGTGACTTCCATTGGTAATGCGGCAGACGTCCCACCTGTAGTCAGTCTCTTGCCACACGCTACGTAGCATCTCTGGTGTCACTTCTGTAACTGAGGCAATAATTCGAGTTCGGAGCTCAATGACATTTGCAGGTAAAGGTGGTACGAACACTCGATCTTTAGCGAATCCCCATAAGAAAAAATCCAGGGGAGTAAGATCTGGGGAACGAAGTGGCCATGCTATTGGTGCCGCTCTAACCAATCCACCGACCTGGGAAAGAGATGTTGAGGTACTTGTGCACTTCTCCAAGGTAATGAGGGGGTGCACTGTCTTGCTGGAA